GCACACAGCAATCTTGTTGTTTGCACACAGCAATCTTGTTGTTTGCACACAGCAATCTTATTGTTTGCACACAGCAATCTTGTTGTTTGCACACAACAACCTTATTGTTTGCGCACAACAACCTTGGCGCATTAGCTAAATTTTGCTGCGATGGCATTAATACGTAATTACCTGTAAATTAATATTAAATATTATAATAATTAATTAATAATAATATCAAAAATTACTTATATTACTTTAAAATAAACCAAAATGAACTTACAATTAGTTTAAATCTCATAATCAATTGGAATTACATATCAAAACATCATGTACATAATATCCAAACAAATGTATGACGACGTATTAATACATCAAATGGTAGTAGCCAAAGGGTTAAGTAAATAATTAGAAAAATAAAAAAATAAAAAAAAAAAAGATTACAACTTACGAAACACAGCCATAGAACGTAGTATTCTTTGATAAAAAAGTTGAAGTACTGATTAAGAAACAGCATGGCTGGTCCGATCAAGGAACTATCTAAATATTGCATCTCATTTTTCGTCATATGAGCAACCTGTAAAGTAATCAAATAAAATTATAAACATTTATAAATATTTGTTTAATGATTAAATAATATATATACATATATATACGTACCACCAATCTATTGGTAACTTTAGCTGCAACCATCCCAAATGCAAGTATATACAATGCAGGATGATTTTCGTATACGTGCTCAGCACTTTTTCTATAAATAATGAATGCTGGCACTACCACGAAACTAAATGGGATGATTGGTGACAGTACTGAGGTTCCCTGAAAATTGTTGATCACAGTTATGCAGTAAAATTCGATTATTTTATTACCAAACAAAAAAATTAATTCATTTTAAACGAATGATATTTTACTTTATTTGTTTTGTTTTGTTTTGTTTGTTTTTGTTTTTTTTTTTTTTGTATACTCTTTGAAATATAAATCAAATATATGTCTTTACTGTTTTCTTTTTTTTTTTTTTTTTTAATTATACTTTATCTAATTATAATCAAATACGACAGACTAATTGTAAAAGAAATATCAATTTGAATTTGAAAAATTGATTGACATTGTTTATTTATTTTTTTATTTTTAAAATATTTTCCATAACAAAATTTGCGAGTATTCAGTAAAATGTTAACAAGCAAAAGCAATCAAGAAGATAATAAATGCAATTGAGAGATTGATAATTAATTAATTATTTAATAAACATTTTATTATATAATTATCTTCATGATACTAATAATATTAGGTCGAGTTATAAGTAACTTCCAATGCAACTATGTAGAATCTATTTTTTTGTATTTACCTAATATAAGTCACCGAAACAAACGAATTTTTGATATCACTGTATAAATGAGGATTCACGCGTTGCTTTGGTTCACAATCAGTCCGATACGAATTATATTATACCGCCATTTGTTAGAATAATATAAACTATCATTCTATCTTTCAAGTTGGATGAAATTACACACAGTGTGCAGAATTTGATTAAAATCGGTTCAGTAGTTTAGGAGTTCATTGCGGACAAACAACGTGACGTGACGTGACGTAATTTATATATATTAAGATAAGATATTAAGATTATAATATTTAATTTATTATAATAATAATGTCTATATATATATATATATAAAGATTATTATATGATAATCTTTATTATAATTATTAATCTTTTTATTATAACAATTAATTATCAATCTCCATTTGTAAAATAAATGATGTTACAATAATAGATGCATATTATATAACAAATCAAAGTTAAATTGTTAAAAAACCACAAAGCAGTGCTTGCAAAAATAGTAACATGCATAGAGAAATATTACATATCAGAAAAAAAAGAAAAAAAGAAAAAAACAAAGTTTGTCCTTTTTTTTTTTTTCTTTTTACATACAAACAAGAGCGAGAGAGAGAGAAAGAGAGAGAGAGAGAGAAACAGAGAGTGATAGAAAAAGATATAGAAAACTAATCCTTAAAGATAACAAATTACAATGAAAAAAAAATAAAAGATACAAACACAACATTATTTATTTTGTAACGAATAGAAATAACAAAGAAGAAGAGTGTTTATATCAAAATAAACAATAAAAAAAAGAAAAAAAAACAAAACAATGAACAACTAAAAAAAGAAACAAATATAAACGAAACTCTAATTAGTGAACAAAATTTGTGCTGCTAAAACTCTTTTATATTGGAAACAATTTTCTAAGATAGTTTGTTGTGTTGTGTTTATTGTATTTATTTATTGTTGTATTTTTTGTTTCCCAAATAATAATTTCATGCAAGATTCGTTGAACAAATTTATTTCGACAGATAATAAACAACATTTTGGATTGTGGACATTTTAAACATGGGCAGGGCAATGCAACGGGGGAAGGTGGTGGTGGTGGTGGTGGGGAGGGGGGTTAAGAGACAGACAACAAGGTATACAAAGAGGATATACACAAATATACGTCCTAATTTTTGTTTCTATTCAAATGATCCTGATCCTTTACGAGAAACAATGAGAGAGAAAGAGAGACAGAAACAGAGACAGAAACAGAGACAGAAACAGAGATAGAAAGAGAGAAAGAGAGAGAAAGATACAAAGAGGAAGACAAAAATATACACGCGTTTTGAGTGTGGGTGGTGGTGGTGGTGGTGGTGGTGGTGGTACAATAAACAACCTTGTTGAAAACAGCACACAATTGGTGATTAACAAGTACAGAACAATCTGTAAATTGATTTAAGAAGAGGAAGGAACAAGTGTTGTTATTGTTTTTGTTGTTCTTGTTGTTGTTGTTGTTCATGTTGATCATCGTCAGATTTGCCTTTTAATTATGGGGGCGGGGCGGGGGTGCTAGGTAGGAGGACACTAAACCAGAAGAAATTTCCAATCGATTTTCTAAAAGTACTGGGGATGATTATTTACTTTTATGATATCAAATATAATACTAAACACAGATGAGATTTGTTTTTTTTTTTTTATGTTTTTTTGTATTTTTTCATTTTTTTAAAATTGCCATTTTATACTAGCCAAATGATCAGAAGCACAAACCTACTACACAAACGAACTTTGGAATAAATCTTCGTTAACATTGCAACGTATTGTTATTATTAATTGAACAATTTGTTTAAAACATCAGGGATACATTCAACAACGTTGAGTGTCACGTCAGTCATCGGTGACTGACAATGAACTTTTCGTCCAGGCCACGTCAGTCATTTATGACTGACAATGAATTTCTAGTCCAGGCCGCGTCAGTCATTTATGACTGACAATGAATTTCTAGTCCAGGCC